TGTAACTAGATAATCCAGATAATGGAGCTTTGTTTTCTTTAGATAACAGTGTATATTCCCATCTCCTCATAACAAAGCTCTGTTATCTTGAGATAATGGTGTCATATTCCCATATCTCGAGATAATTATTCTAGACAGCAGCGTTAATCTCGAGATAACAGCTAACATCTTTGTTTTCCTCAAGATTTTTCTTGAGGTAACAGGATAATTATTCCGTGATAATGAGATAATTATTCTGATCTCTGATATAATGGGATTCAAAAAAAAAAAATTGCCATTCTCGGCTTCCATACTTTACTGTAGAACATGTTATTCCTAGTTTTGTCTGACATAAAGTAGTTTCTCTTACTTCTCATTAGTGAACTGTAAATTAAAGTGCGAGCCGAATGAATCAGTTGAAGTGACTAACTCCTCTACGTGTCATTCTACAGGCTTTTGTTCTACTTGCCTGGTGCACGTTGGTGGTGCGCTCACACGACACCTCATCATCAGCAGATGAACGCGTCTCTCCAGCGGACTCAGTGACTCTCTCTCCATCAGTGCGCGGGTTGGAGCTGCTCTCTCAGACTGTGGCTGAGCCGAGGGGAGGACAGGATGGACGGAGAGTAACCGCGCTCCTCTCTCTGGGAAACTACTCTGTTTTTCCGACCAAGGCTCCATCATCATCTCCACCGTGTCCACACGCAGTCCACGTCTCTCTTGGCAACCCCGGGGACACCTGTCGCGTTTCAGCTGGGCAGTACCTCCATCACTGAACACACATTTCCTCAAAGGCTGTGGAGACAGAGAGCTGGTGGTTGAGGCGGTTGCAGAGTCTTAGATGAACTGAAGCCGGTCTCTGCGGGGACCATCTAACCTGCCTCAGCTGCGCTTCGTGCCGCTCCACCGTCTCATTCAGGCTCCGACAGCGTTCCCGTCTGGTTTTTCAGGCATCAGCCATGACAGGACGATGGAGCTCATATTCCATGTCAGTGCTGCTCTCTCTGGTCGTGCTGTGGCAGACACGGTAAGTTCTGTGTTACTGATACGCGTTTTTACAGATTAATAAACCGCTCTGACGGCGCACTGACCGGGCGCACAGCGGCTCTGTGCCTCTCCACCTCCAGGCTGTTTAACGGTGTGTTGTTAAGCAGCAGCAGCAGCAGCAGTATAGATGACTACAGCTAGATTATACCCACACTAATAACAATGAGGATTTATCATTGATCACGTCCTCTCCTAACGGTCGCTCTGTGCGCTCTGTTCAACCTCACGCGCCAGACCCCGCAGACAGATTTAACAATTTAATGATTATTTGCACATGAGGGAGAAATATCTCAGTAGCTCAATGAGATCTGTTTCTATATGACGGTCTCACGGATACGGCTCTGACCTCAGACCTGTCAACTTTGGGAACTGACTGTTACCACCCAGCGCAAAAACCCGGACGGACACCGCCGGTGACAGTAACAAGCGTAATCCATATTTAATCCAGCAGCAGACTGGACCTCCGTTAATCTGTGTAGTTTTACAATTGATTTTTTTTACACTGCTTGTGTGCACGTGTGTTCCACATGAACTCAACAGCACTTAACGTTCTGTGATAATGTCAAGATACAGTCAGAGGTAGGAGAGACCGGGCGCGGTTGCAACAGTTTTTACATTTCTCCCAGTGACTCAGAGACCAACCAAACTTTGATATATTAATCTTACATCTGTCTGCTAATTATCCATACCATTCAAAGATTACAGATGACATATCATTCACAATATTTAGCCTGACCCCAACCCTGGGGACAGTTGCAACACAGATCAGGGAGGGTTGCAACATATTGAAAATACATTAGATTGCACTAATTAACTTTTGATTTTTGCCTCAATAAGCATAGTATCCTGAAAACGTGCATTGTTTTAAAATAATATTAAAGTATTATTTAGTTAATTAATAATTTGTATCAAAGAACAAGCAAATATATGATGAGACCATGAGAGGCTGACAAAATAATTCCCAAAAGAACCTGTTTGTATTTTCTATTGCCTTAAAATGAACTATTGTTGCATCAAAATTTGCTGCATATTTGGCTCATATATTTTGTTCTAAAAATGTTGAAACACACTGTTGTGTGATCTGTTTTGAATTGGCTGCTCAGTCCAGAGACAGTTACAATAAATCAAACTCAGTAAGTTTTGACTAATTCAGACAAAAGGTCAAGATTGTATGTGAAAAATACAGCTCATTAAAAAAAAATTTCATACTTTCAAAACAACATTTTTTCAATAAATGCAGCAGCAGCAGGTGTTGTGTATATCTTACATCGTCCTGGTAGGGGGAGAGTCTTGCTGCAACCGTCTCCCCAACCTTTAGTTTGTTCCTTGGTTTGGTCGCTAAGGTCTTCTGTGCAACTGTTTAACTGACTTTAAGTGATTCCTTAAGTTCAAGACCAAGATAAGGGGAAAGCCTGAAATACTTAGATGAACATTTTAAGGAAACCCTAATTAGAAGACTTAGGAGTGTTTTTTGCAACTGTTTTTATTTTAAGGAAACCTTCACTTTGATCTTAAGGAAAATTTTAACTTAAGGTGTTTTGTGCAACCGGCCCCAGTTTGTCAAACTGAGAACATAGTTACTGTGGAAACTGGTTGTCCCGGTGATTTATTTAGAGTAGAAATGAAGGCAGGTCATAATCACAAATCAGGACATTTTGTCATGTTTTCTCCTCTGACGATTTTCTGCATCAGTGGATCTGAATCATTTATTTTTCATATTCCAATAAACATCACATTGCTGCACGAGTTTCTTGGCATTTACTTGAATTTCTTAATTAAGATTATAATAATTTGTAAGGAGCTGACCGGTCAGCAAGTACAGTGTCACTGTGTGCATTGAAATGTCACCTCTTTAAAAACTTCAAAACACTGAGGCTGTATTGTGCCTGTTTAGATATTTAATTAGACACCAGACCAGAATTCATCCATGTCCTTTTAAAACTGTGCATCAGTGGTTTTGATTTATTCACCCATTAACTGTTGAACTTGTTTATTAATTGAATTATTTATTAAAGGCTTATTGTGCCATTTGTGTATTCATACCTCCCAGGCTGAACTGTTGATAACACAGCGAGGAGTATTCCAGTGATTTAGTAGTACACCTCCAGCGAGCACTGTCACCTCACAGCCAGAAGGTTCCAGCTCTCTGGGGCCTTCCAGTGTAGAGTTTGCATGTTTCTGGTTTCCCTCCAGAGACATATTAATAATAATAATAATAATAATAATAATAATAATAATAATAATAATAATAAACCTTATTTATAGAGCACTTTTCATACAAGAGATGAATCTCAACGTGCTTTACAATAAAAAATCAATAGTAAAAAAAAAAAGCTACACTGCTTATTTTCTTGTGTGTCAAATTGTGTGTATTCAAAAGTCTGGCAGTAAAAGATGTGAGAGCTTGTGAAGGATTATAAAACAACAGAGAACCTGCAATTTTAACTCCACTGTGATGGTGATGATGCATCATCCGATCACAAATGACAGAGAATCCACTTTCATCCACTCAGATAATAGATCTAGAGACACACCGCAGCCTACCTTTCCAGACCTGGGTCCCAAGATTAGTTTCAGTTGGAGCCATGACGACCCGTAGTATATTGACTTACAATCATTGTTCTTTGCTCTCTGTTCATGTTCTGCCTCGTTCTTCCTCGGGTTAACGTTGGTTATATACTCCTGATCTATTTCCCATAGACCCAACACTTCCCTACTCGGCCGCTAGTCATTGGGTCAAGCCATTAGGGAGCAGTCCTACTTTCTCATGGTGTCAAAACCCTCCTGTCACAATCCTGATGTCACCATATCTGACCAATGATGTGTCTGCCTGGTAAGGTTGGAGTTCTATAAGAACTGTGCAAAAAAAGTGTAACATAACTGCAGTAAAAAATGTGATATAGAGCTGAGGTCACTAATATTTTTATTTTAACTGGTGCAGCTTTTTTGGCCTTTATAGTTCTGGTCTTGTGATGCTACTCAGCCAATCATAGTGACTGGAGTCAGTGAGCCTGTGTAGCAGGATATCAGGGTGGATGACTGGGTTGACAAAACAGGATTTTCACACAGGGTACCACTTCATTTCCCGTGTGCCACCCACTTTTTTCTTTCTTTTTTAAACCATGACCATTCCACAACTTTAACTGTGTGCTTTTTTTGGGGGGGGGGGGCTTTTTGTGCCTTTAATGGACAGGACAATAGAGAGGGAATGACACGCAGGAAAGGGCCGTGCGATGCGGGAGTCGAACCAGGGGCCAGCTGCAGCCTCTATATATGGGGCGCCTGCGTAACCCACTGCGCTACACGACGCCCCTAACTGTGTGCTTTTATTGTAGCCATGACAACAAAAGTCCTGGCTTTGGTTTTAACTGTAACAATGATGATGAAGGTGCGGTACACCTGCCGCTGTAGGGCTGCGTATCAGTAGACGCTCTCACAGATTGTATCGGGGGGGGGGGGGGGGGGGGATATCGACTGGAACATACCCCTGTGTGTTGTCGTCACAGTGTGTTGTCAGGTTTGGAACCATCGTTCTGTGCAGAGACCAAAACCAGATCTTCACTGACCCTGTTTGACAACTCACAGCATACACACAGGGGAGATGAACACTGGAAGGTGTATGTTTTGAACCTAAGATAGCTGGCTAGCTGTTTCCATTCTTTATTGCTAAGCTAGGCTAACCATGTCTCTATGAGAGGTCACACACTAGAGTCTATTATTTCTGTTATTTTGGTCCAGTTTTCAGTTTGATCATTCCTAATGAAAATCATAGTGACTCCTCAGAATAGTCTTTAATTGATGATTTCTAATTCTGTCCCTAAAATACAGATGATACTGGGGTGAGGGCTGAAATGAAAAAGGCAGTCACTTGAGTGATCAGATTGATGAGGATCACATGTTGCTCCCAGTGGAACCTGTAATTCTACCTGCTGCTGTAGACTGGTCATTTTTCTTTCTCACACGTCTTTTATTAGGTCAAAGGCGGATTCCAATTCAACACGTAACTTCAAAGACATCACAACCTTCACTAAGATCCTGGACAGTCTGCTGGACGGATATGACAACAGACTGAGACCTGGTCTGGGAGGTGAGACTGGAACACTTACACACTTCCATCAAAACTCAAAAGAGACGGATAAAGACGGTCAAAATCAAATCAGCAGAGACAGAGATATCTTTACTTTCGTAAAACACTGGATCCTACATTTCCCATAATGCAACGTAATGAAGTCTTCTTCCTTCCTGTCTCGTAAATACCCACATCTCTCATACACACCTGCAGCTTGTATGTGAGACTTTCTGTTATAACCCTGATGACATCACTATGACATCATCAGAGTTGCGTTCTCAAACTTGACCAATGATGATATTATATGATATGATATGATATTATAATACACAGAGTAGGACTGAACTGATTCTGATGGGTAAGATTGAGTTTAACTCCATAAAGGAATGTTCAAAAAAATGTTTTCACCTTTGGGGCGACCTGATCATCAAATCGTTGAATTGCGTACCACTTGGCTCCTGGTTCGACTCCTCCTTTCTAAATATTAACAATGGAAAAACATTTCTTTTATTGTATGTTATAAACACAGGAGAGAAGATGATTTAGATCAGACTGTTGTGTGCTATTTGTAGCATGCAGGGTCTCAAAACTTGTTAAAAGGTAATAAATCAATTTGATCCATCATATGAACAGGTAAATTTTTTTTTTGTTAAGTTATTGTTTTTTCCTTTTTTTTGATAGTCACAGTGAGACTAAGCCTTTGCGGTACGTGCTGTACCAGCGGAGGCACCAGGGCGCCCCCACATGAATTTATTTATTCATATTGTGTAACTGAACAGCACAGAACAGATCAAGTCAGGCAGGAACTCACACACAGGAACGGTACAGAGTATCTGTGTAATTTTCAAAATAAAACACCCTGTGCACACCCAAGTGTATATCACGTGGAACGCACAGCAACTGGAACAGAGTCGGGCGGCTCATTATACAAGTTGTGTCAAAGGGAGGGGGAGGCATCACCACAGCAGAAAATAACCCTGATGACATCAGCTCAGCCTGGGCTCAGAGACTAGAAATGAAAAACACAAAGCCTTTGTGACAAACTGAAGGTAGGGCGGTTCAAAGACCTGGATGTTTACTTGTCTTGGAGGGTTGAATGAAAGATCCTTTTGAGCTGCATCATGGGAAATGTAAAAGCAAGTGTTTTTGAGGTTTGAATCACATCAGGAACTAAATGTCAGGTTATCTCTGCCTCACCAGTCTTTCATTAACCTGTCTGTCATGAGTCGTAAAGACTTTGCTTTTGTTTGCACCGTGATTTTCTGCAGCACATGTCGTTCTCTGTCTCCACAGACCGAGTGACAGAAGTGAAGACTGACATCTATGTGACCAGCTTTGGCCCAGTGTCTGACACAGATATGGTGAGTCTCAGACACATCACCTCTCAGTGTTTTACCTTCTCATGAGCCGAGACAAACACAGTGAAGTGATGCGTCACGCTTCAATCAGTCAGAATAAATCCATAGTTTCAAACATCTTTTGGTTTTGAAAAGACTTGTACAAGGAACTTCAAAGTGACACCAACATGTGATTTTGAGGCCTAGCTGGGAGATAGGGGCGGAGTCAGACGCTGCCAAGATGGCAACGGTGGAGCGGCAAAACTGCTCCTCAGAAACCTGTGAGTGACGTCACGTAGGCTACGTCCATCATTATTTACAGTCTATGGTCCATACAAAAGGCAAGATCTGCAATATCAAAGCAATAAAAATACAGGTACCATACAATCAAAATAGAATTTAATAAAACAATATTAATAATAATGATGAAGTAAACGACAGAACACTGAAAAACTATCGCTGAGGTGAGTGAACCATCTACACACAGAAGGCCAAGCACCAGGTCTGAATCCAGGGCCCAGTCTTGAGAAGTCGGCCTCCGAGCCTCTGACACACCATGCTTCATAAAATGCTGGGCCTGTGCACATGCAATAACACACATCCAGCAGATAATATCCTCCAGACAGAGAACTGTCAGTACTGCTTGTCCTGTTGCTATGGGAAACCCACCCACTCCAACAGGAGAGTGATGACACGTCAGGGGTCAGACTGTGTTATTAAAGATGTGATCTGATCCTCCACCGACACCCAGCTCTGATCTGAGCCGTCTGCTGTACTGCATATTAAACTTATTAAAGATTATTATCATATGTTATGTAATATATTAATGACCATATCACATGTTATATAATATATTAATGGCCGTTGTCATATATGATATTAATGACTTTTATAATACATATCATAAATGATCATACATCATACGTCATACATATACTATAACCCTAATCCTACTTTTAATCATACTGTATAATCAAATGGATATTAACCCATTCAGACCTCAGTTTCCCTCTAAAACATAAACATTGTTTAAACAACCTGAACCTGAGAGTTTTCTGAAAAACTTGTCATTCACTGAAACCTTTATTCCTCAGCCTCTGTCCAGCTGATATGTTCCAGTGATGTTGGGACTTCTTCCGTCAGTCACCCTGAGGTGATTCTGCTTTTCATCCAACAGGCACATGGTCCAATCACAGCGCATGGTGAAGCTTTGTATGCGTCGATCTTTCATCCTCTGTTTAACAGTTAGTTTCAACCAGCTGATGGTCATGATAAACCGTCATTGAGTATGTGCTTTACCTGCATGAGCCATGAGTTATACAGGTGAAGCAAACAGTCATTCATGATGTGACTGAGTTTAGACCACAGTACTACAACCTGTCTGTTTAAAGTATTCATATACGTCAGGTGATAAGTATAAGTTTAGGTGTAGTATGGATGCCTGTAATGTTCCTCCTCTCCACAGTGGGGTGGTGTAGTGATACCCAGTGGCTCCTTCATGAAGGTGCTTACCTGGGCTTCAGCTCCGGGCCCCTGACCAACCAGGGGCCTCAGGAGACATGAGCCTAATGTTTTGTTGTGGTTGGTTGGAGGCCGTGACAGACTTGTCATCATCATACAAAATGCTCCACCACACAAATACTGGAGACTGTAGAAAAACTAGAATTACAGCCTTGCAGATGCATGTATCCACCAAAACACTTTTTGCGTTCCTGAGACAGAAGGCCATAAACATGTTTTGTGAGGTCATCGTGCCCTCTACATTTGACGTTTGACCACCAAAGTCCTATCAGTTCGTCTTTGAGTCCAGGTGGATGTTTGTGACAAATGTAAAGAAGTTCCGTCACGCAGATATCACATCCAGGAGAATGGGACTACGCAAAAACATTATGTCTCCAGCTCTGGCATACAAATCCAAACCTGTCCTTAAACTAGACTAAGTGAAAATCAAGGGTTAAACATGTTAAAATGTTCACAGTTAACCATAAACATCCAGTGTGCTGACAGAGACACTGCTCACTGAACTGATACAGCTCATACAAACACACAGTACGTCCATATGTCACACACACACACAAACACAAACACTCTGCTCCCTGCCCTCAAAGCTTTGCTCAGTTATTCCATTACAATTCCCAACCACCCCCCACCCCCTACCCCTCACCCCCTACCCCTCACCCTCCCTCCCCACCTGGCTCCTCTCAAATATTTAAGTGGCGTGGAGGGGCAGAGGGATGGAAGTGGTCGTGATGGAGACGGCACCTTCTAAAGAAAGAAGACACAGAGATGGTCTCATCTTTAATTCATGACATGTCTCCATCAAACTTGCAGCAGATAATTTCACTCCACCACTGTATCTGTCTTTTCTCTGCCTCTGATAGCTCAGCTCTGACACACACACACACACACACACACACGTCTTTTGGATGGCCCCCTGCTGCTGCGCTGCCGCTTGTTTGTGCAGGTTTCGGATTTCTGGATTATAAAGTCCTGTCTGTGCTTCTCACACTAATGCTGTGAGAGCAGAGACACAGCGAGACGCTTCAGTAAAACACTCGAACACCTGCTCATTCTGTCTGTTGGATTCAGACTGCTGTGCTCTGTTGAAGTCACACTCACAGTAAATATCAGGTTCTGTTGCCACAGCAAAAACATCTGCTGGGAAAATCTAAAATTGAGCAATATCACACGAGAAGGATTGATGCTGTACTGAGTGTCAGCACGACTGTGATTCGGTCGTAGGTACGAGGCCGCAGGCGAGCGCCGTGTTAGTTAAATAAGCAACAACAGATTATGATTCGTTTGTTTATTTCATCATTTATTTGGCTACGCTAACACAAATAGTCCCGCAAGTGGACTGGTACTGGACTGTTACTAAGCAACACATAAACATTTTCCTGACCTGCACAGTGCACGCTAGCTTGCTACTTTGTCTACACTCTACCTCAGGTGTGCGCTGAAGTATCCAGGCTTCTTCCCTTCATCCTCTTCTGACGACCACACATCATTTCATTCAAATGTTATTTCTGGAAATATGTTCTGTTTTCTCATACTTGTAAAGTTTGTTACAATCAATTAATATGACGCTGATTAACAGTTAATAGAACACCTCTGACGCAGAGCGACACATGTAGTTAAAAGTCCCAGTGCTGTTGTGCTCTCAGATCATTAGGAGCTGACGGCACAGAGACCTATGGGCTGGCTTTTACCGGAGGACAAATGTAATGGAATATTTATTACTTATTTAGAAAAGGTGTTTCAAGACTTGGTATAAGAGGATGTAGGATAGAAGCAGACAGAGGCTTGACCTATAAAGATGTTATAGAGTGTTAAATATTTTATATATCTTTCAGTCTTTTCAGCTACAGGGTGGAGTCAGATTCTGTTCCCCGTTCTGCTCAGTCTGGTTTCATGATGACACACCGGCGACAGTCAGAGCTGTCGGTCCCATTCTCATGGACACGATATCTCAGTAACGCCCTGATGAAACTTCTTCAAATTTGGCACAAGCATTCACCTGGACTCAAGGATGAGTTGATTAGATTTTGGTGGTCCAAGGTCAAAGGTCAAGTTCACGTTGACCTCACCAAATGTGGTTTTGGCCTTGTGAATGCAATATCTCTGTGACACCTTGAGGGAATTTCTTCAAATTTGGTGCAAACATTCCCTTGGACTCAAGGACGAACTGCTGTGCACTGTATTACGCCACAGACCAGCTGTTTGGGTCATAAAGGGCTGTTTGACTGTAGTGAAAGTATTAAAAACATGTTGTACACTTGAACTGATATTAGTTTTTTTTGATGGCTAGAATACGTTATTCCTGCTGACCCCGTCCTCAGCAGTACATCACTCAGTTTCAGTGCAGGTGCTCCTGCCTGCCACACTGAGTGTGCTGTGACTGTGGATAAGTACCTCATACATACCTCCATGAAATAACCCGAACTGTCACTTTAACAAACAACTAGTGCTTCAGTTAGCCTGTAGAAAATCTATCAGCAGGTGATTAGTGTGTGTCAGTACCTAGAAAGAAGGGAAGTTTCATCTCACCCAGATTTGAGAAGATGACTGATTACAGTTTGTTCTCCGAGGACGCTCCATGCAGTCCCCTGTGGACTTGTGGTTAACTGTGGAACAATGAGAGAACCAGTCCAGGGAGATGGTTCCACTGGAGGAACTGAAGGCCTCATTAATGTTGTTGTAAACTGTGGCTGACACATTCCTTAGGGAACAGCTGGATCTGAGACTGACAGGTCTGAACCCGGTCAGGTGTCGCATCATCACCATCACGCTGAGATCTGCCTCAGTCTGCAGGCTGAGGACACGACAGGACAGAGCAACTCACATGACTCTCAGATATCATAAACAAATCTGGTGTTTGGAAAGGCTCTAACGCTTTTCTAGAGAATTCGTTTCCTCAAAGTAACTTTTTCAACACATCTTCCAATATGTGATGAAACTTTGCTTCACCCGCAAACCAGTGCTCAGTTATGACTCAGTCTACTTCTATAATCAATGAACTCTCAGAACTCCTACAGTATTAATTAAGGTTCTCATAAGTCTGAAGGTGAAATGAGAAGTGGAGGTGAAATGTTGTTTAAAAGATTTGAAATCAGTGTTAAAACTGAGAATGTAGTGACCATTACTAATTTTATTTAGCTGTACTAACAACATGTCTTTAACAAATGTTTGATCAAACTGAAAACTAAAACATCTTCTGATCTTTCTGTTTTTTATCTGTTATTATATATATTTTTGTGATATTGAACCTTACCACTACATTAACTCATACTTGGACCACAGGTCTGGTTCAGATGCTGAGGTCAGCAGGATTACTAAGGGTCACTCCTCCAATTTGACCCTTAACCTCTGCTGCTGTCCACTGTTCAGGATAATTAACCCTTTTCCTGATCTATGACGTATTCTGATTGATGTACTGATACTAGTAAAAACAGTTATATTATATATATAATGGTTTAGGTTTTTAAAGATTCATTAGATTATTAACCTCATGGAGCTGAGACTTTGGTGAATTAGTGCCTTTGTGGGAAACATACATCACCCGAGACAATTTCCTCCTGTAAAAGAATGAGCCACAGGTCGTCTAGTGCAGCAGGCTATTATGTCCCATAGTTACATTTGTTGCTAGGCGACATCTAGTGGACGTCAGTAATTATGACAAGAGCAAAGGGAAAAGTGCCGGTGACGTACGTATACAAGAGAACAAAGTCCACGTCAGGAGAGGTTGTGGTAGGATGAAGATGACACAGGAAGCGCTGTTCCATTCCCATGTGAAAGTAGCATTGTGTTGTAACCATGACACAAAGACCCTGTAATGTTGAGGAAGTACTTAGTTGTTAACCCATACAAATTGATCTTTTCCTAAAACCTAAAAAAAAGCCACATGACCGTTGTTGTATATGACAATAGCACAAAGTAGGTACACCCCTGTTGGTACAGCTCCCATGTGTTTATTACTGTAACCACTGACAACCAAGCCGGTACACCTGTTGCTGTAGGGGGCAGCTATTTCAGGAGACACTGCTAAGGGTTGTATCAGAGGGTTGAAAAACAACCATGTGGTTGTTCAGGTTGGAGGAGGAGTTGTTGGCTCACCCACCTGTCACTCAAAGAGGCCACCACCTCATTCTACATAACTTTGAGTCTTAATAAAAATGTAAACACTAGTTATATTAAACAGTTGTCATGAAAGGAGGAAATAGCTCTAGAGACCAAAACAGTTTTTGTACCAGACTGTAAACATGGTTTATTTCTGCTGTAAAGTTGGACATTTTAACATGGGATCTATGGGGACTGACTCAGTGTTGGAGCCAGACTCTAGTGTCGTTAGAGGAACTGCAGGTTATTCTTCAGTGTTGACTTCATTTTTCAGGCCCGGGGTTGATGCTGTAGACAATCTCTCTCTCTTGTCTCTCTCTCTCTCCCCTCTCTCTCTCTCTCTCTCTCTCTCAGGAGTACACTGTGGATGTCTTCTTCCGTCAGAGTTGGAAGGACGAGCGACTGAAGTTCCACGGACCGCAGTGACACTGCCTCTCAACAACCTGATGGCCAGTAAGATCTGGACTCCTGACACCTTCTTCCACAATGGCAAGAAATCAGTAGCCCATTAACATGCCATGCCCAACAAGCTGCTGAGGATCATGGAGGAGGAACCCTGCCTGTACACCATGAGGTACCTGATTTTTATCATGTTTCTATACCTGCTTATTCATTATCCAATCAGCCAATCATGTGTCAGCAGTGTATAAACTCCTGCAGATCCAGGTGAGGAGTTCACACAAAACAGTCTCTAGACCAGAGGTTTTCAAAGTGGGAGGTGGGCCTCACCAGGGGGGGGCTCCAGTTTCAGGGGAGGCTCAGTGAATGGAAGGGAAAAATATTACAACTTGTCACATGAGTTATCAAAAGGAGCTTATGTAAATGAGCCTAAATGTGTGTGATGTGGTTAAAGAGAGAGTTCAGAGATAAAGGATAAAAGCTATAGACCGACTGTGGTGGTTTTTTGTTGGATCTCAGCAAACTTCAGGTTTAAAACTGCACCTTTCACAACTGAGAGTTGCATCGCCAGGACTGTTGCTGGGTCATCTGGTTTAAACTACAAAGAACGATTTTTAATTTAATTTCCATGTTTTGCTCAGTTTCCCTCCGCTCCCTTCCTGAGCCACACCAAGTCACGATGACCCAGCCAGGGCAGTGTTGACTATGACTACGACTCACCACCATGTGACAACCTGCAGTCAGTCTGTCAGTCCGTCAGTAACCCAGGAGATGGTGGAGGAGTCTGCCCCTCGTGTAACGGTGCCTGATGATGTTGAATCCACTGAGAAATCACAGAGTGTGATTCTCATAGATTCTCATAGTGCAGCTGGATCCATCCAGATGTGAGTGAGCTCTCTGCAGAGACTCTAGAGCTCACAAAAGCCTGTGTTTATAGATTTATTTCTCAAACAGTGTCTGATATCAGAGCAATGTGTTTATATAGTCAGATAATGTGAGTGTGTGTGTGTGTGTGTGTGTGTGTGTGTGTGTGTGTGTGTGTGTGTGCGTGTGCGTCCATGCGTACGTGTGTGTGTTGACAGGCTCACGGTTCAAGCTGAGTGTCCCATGCACCTAGAGGACTTCCCCATGGACTCTCACTCGTGTCCTCTGAAGTTTGGCAGTTGTAAGTATCGACACATCATTTCTCTTTCCAACACAGACTGAACTAAAAATTTTCCTTTTAGCATATTATTTATTTATTTATTTATTTATCTATTTTGTTGCCCAACAAATTTCATTCAAAATTGGTTTCACTTCCCCATATGTTTACAGACACAGGATCGGACATAACCAGGAAGAAAACAGAAAAGCAGTAGAAAGAAACAAATGGTTTTATTTCAAACTATTCAAAAAACCAAGACAATTCGTGTCCCGGGAAAAAATATTAAGTTGCTAAAAAGAGAACAATCCCAGGAAAACTGGTACAGGTGTCAACGCTAACATTGGTCAATGTCGAAACAGCTGAAGCAGCGACCTACGTGAGTTTAACACCCTCTTCTGACAGTTCTGTTTATGCTCCGATCATTTAACTTTCACTGTGTTCAGGATGTGAAGAGAATTTAAATAATTATAACAACCAATGTTTCTGACACACTACTGTCTACTGCAGTGACTGTGCAGGAGTAATTATACCTCTCCTGATGTCAGCGTGTGCGGGGAAGTGTACAAGCGTTCATGTGCTGAGTGTTGAGTATGATTGTAACAGCGTGTTGATGATCAGTGTCTCCCTCCTCTCCCTCCAACAGACGCCTACACTAAGACCGAGGTCACGTACATCTGGACTCGTAACGCCTCCCAGTCTGTGGACGTTGCAGCTGATGGGTCCAGACTCAACCAGTACGACCTGGTGGGCCAGAGTGTGGGGAAGGAGACCATCAAATCCAGTACTGGTGAGAATAAGGGATCAGTGTCCAGACCAGACAAACAGAGAACTAGAAACAGAGAAGACCAGAGAAGGTTTCATGACATTATTATAACAGCAGATATATTTACTATTTAGATCGTATCATATCATCTCTGGACTTCTTGTGTCCTAGATGCCTTTTCCAGACATTCACAGATTCCGCTGAGCAAAGTCTTTCATTATCACCCCTCTCCTGGCCTCTGTCCATTCGCTCCAGTTCGTTTTAGAACAGATTTTAAAGTTGATTGATTCCCAAACATGCATTGAGTAACACGCAAGAAAACATTCAACCTTAAAAGAAGCAGCCAGAAGCAGCCAGAAGCAGCCGGCAGCCTCTGAGCTGCTCAGTGAATTAAATCGTTAAGTTGTAAAGATGAAAAGACAGAGAACATCTTTTCATTCATCATTCACTCTTCTGACACTTTCTTTATCTGTGATGCTTTTACACAGAAACATGACAAAGTTACACTTGGACGCCTTGTGCTGCTGGAAATGAAAGCTAGCTTTTCATAGCCTAGCCTGTTAGCTTAGCTGGACCTCTGCCTGCACTGCAGCATCTCCTCTGAATGGATGTTTCCGGTGCGGCTTCGTTTGCTCGACAGAAGTCAGTAAGCGTATGTAAACTTGTCACCATAGGAACAGTGGTTACATCACCTTTGAAACACCTCTGCACACGAGAGACAACAACATGACAGATGAGGTCCCAGTGAAGTCAGCGGCGAGTTTAAAGGCAGATGAGTGGCTGCATTTCAGATTTAAAAACTATGTAGACTGTGAAGAGCTGGACAAAAGCCAAGCTATATGTAGCATTAGTTCTCTGAGAATCTCATTCATATCCAAGAAAAATTGATGTTGTAACTGAAATATCTCTGACTGAATCGATACCAAATCAAATCAGAATAGAATCAGAATCGAATGGATTCAGGAAATCATTTTCAATACCCAGCCCTAATAGATAGATAGAGGACGAGAAGGACAAACTTTAACTTGTGAAAGTGTTTTATGATGCAGTGTTGGTGAGTGTGAGTGTGCTGCAGGGCGTCTGGACAGGATTCAGACAGACATTTGTCGACTTCAGCACGAACAAACATTTGAAGCAGCAGCAGTTTGGAGGTGTGGGTCACCTCCAACACGTCACTGACACACATGCAACACAACAGTCTGCTCACATCCTGCACTGCTGCTGTCACACACACAACCTCACTCACTCACTCACTCACTCACTCACTCACTCACTCACTCACTCACTCACTCACTCACTCACTCAGCTCTCTGTGGTCAGTGATTTGATGGCTGTAGATATATTATAGACTGTCTCTGATGACAGATATCATTCCAGGAGCAAACATCTGGAGCTAGAGCTGATAGATAATAATCAAGATAAATGTGGTGAGGTGAGGCCATACCTGCTCACATGTCCACGTCCCACCTATGAGCTTTATTGTATGGTATGGATTATATTACGATGTCTGTGCGGAACATTCGTAACGATATTTTTTGAGATTTTCAAGCGGGCCACGAGCTGGAAAAAATACTCTCATGTCAGTTGATTTGTTTTTTATGTCTTTATTGGATAGCCTGGTTTCAGGGCTCTTCACAGTGCAGAGGCAGCCCTTGTTAAAGTCACTGCTGACCTCCTGCCAACTGCAATTTGAGTTCTTTTACACATAAGTAATACAGTCGATACAGCCAATCATATCATCCTCTTACACCTCTTAGAGACATGAGTAGGAATCAAGGGCTCAGCTCTCAGCTCACTGTGTTCACACCTCTCTAACAGAACTCTGTCAATCACCATGGGAAACTCTACTTCCTCCACGGCTCCCTGTCCTCCCCCTGTCCCTCAAGGCTCTGAGTATCATCAGATCATTCATAAGTCATTTGTAATTTAATAACGAAAAAACCTTAAATCTTTTATTATTTGTGTCAGAATCAAAGAATGAACAGTGGTTTTTGGCCATTCTTTCTTTCTTTCTTTCTTTCTTTCTTTATTCAAGGTTTTTATTTTGACTTTATTTACACTTCACTTCATCTTCCTGTCTTTCCACTGTTCTACTGTTTTTGTCAGCTGAGAAATGAAAAAATGAATCAGCAAAAACCAAAATTGGACTGTGAATTACATTTTCTTTCTCTTTCTTTGGAAACAAAACACGAATAGAGCATCTGATTTTATTTTTCATTTTTGGTGTAGAATAAAAAAAAATCAAATAAAACCATATGATTTAAGTTTTTGATGATAAAAGGAATTTCCAAAAACCAAAAACAGACTGTTTTGATAGATTTTTCGTTTTTTGATTCTGACACCAAAAATGTTTTGGTTTTAAAACAAAGAACAGATTTACAGTTTTTTCATTTTAACTTACAAATGAATTATGGATTATCTGATGAGACGCAGGCCCTCAAGGCTCAGTTCTTGGCCACCTCCTCTTTTCAATATAAAACTATATTTTCACCTACAACTGAATAATTAAACCCTGATTGTAAAAACCAGTACAGATTGCAAAACCAGTCCTCGCCTCAGTACTGGTTTCTGATCTGACTTTAATTGTTATGCCTCAGCGCCGGTGACAGTCAGGGCCAGAGGAATTATGCTCTCAGTAACACCCACAGGGATTTCATTACATTTGGCACAAACATTCACTTGGACTCAATGATGAACTGATTAGAATTTGGTGGTCAAAGGTCAAAGGTCACGGTAAACTCACAAAACACGCTTTTTGGCCACAACTCAAGAATTCATTCACCAATTATGACACAATTTAACTCAAATGTGTATAAGGATAAAATGAAGTGATGACATTTTAAATCCCAAATGTCAACTTCACTGTGACATCATAATGTAACTCAGCATGGAGAGGTTGTGACCTTATTCCCTGCAACTAGAGTGGTGGAGGAAACAAGACGAGGTGGTAATTCTGTTTATTTGGTTTTATTTCCTTTCTTATTCTCCTGTGTTATCTGTGTTTTGTGGCGTTAAGTCGACTCTCTTCAAACCTTTTTTTTTATTCTCAGCCTGAGGAAGTGAAGGTGATGCAGCAGCATCACAGGGCATCAAGGGGCCAAACTAGTCAAGTGACAGCACACTATACAGCACATGGATGTAATACTCTGCACCTCTGTCCAATAATCCTGTCCACATCTGTACTCAGCAGCATCTGTCCCTCTGTCCTCAGGTGAGTACACAGTCATGACGGCTCACTTCCATCTGAAGAGGAAGATCGGCTACTTTGTGATCCAGACCTATCTGCCCTGCATCATGACGGTCATCCTCTCCCAGGTCTCCTTCTGGCTCAACCGGGAGTCTGTGCCGGCCAGAACTGTCTTTGGTGAGTCTGACACTCTCCTCACAGAGAGCAGATCCATTCTACACACGGCTGAGTGGTATTTTTCCTGTGGGTCGCTGTCTGTGTATAAGGAAGGTGGGGTTGTGTTGTGGAGGGAGCAGGGCGAAGCAGGTCACCGTCCCACTAGCGTGTGTACCTGCAGGGCTTTCCTGTGGTTTCTTCTTCTGTGGTCCTGACTGTAAACTGTGTTCATGCTGACAGGTGAACATCTTATCAGGCCGCTGCAGGCCTCCCACCAGATGAGGGTCACACTCGCTCCCTCCTTATCAGCCAGAGGACAATGTTCACCCGCAATCTGGTTCTCCATTTGCTGAAGTGTCAGGGAGCTGTGTGGCGCTAACGTGCTGCCCTCTCTGCACGTGATTCACTGCTGTATGACACCCTGTAACACACCCACTTATCTGTTGTGACACAGCGGGCGGAGAGGAGAGGTTTGGTGAAAGGCATCAGTTAGTTCTCAGGACGGGAGACGTCTCAGTCCTGGTTCATTAAAGACCGGTGCAGCTATGACTGTGATATATGGTTCACCTACAGTGGGTGAAGAAGAGCAGCTTCCTCTGTGGTGTCCATGTCAGGACTCCATGTGAACCGGCTCCGATGATTCCTTTAAGCCTTCAGCTGTGACTCCAGCTTCTTTGTTACTGATCCTTCTGCTCATCGACTCGTCTTCATCCTCAGTCTCTGAGATCTTTGTTGTGAGGAGTAGATCAAAAATACCAGTTAAAATACAACATCAAATTAAACCAAAACAATGAATAAATAACATAATGAAAAGAATGAGTTAAAACAGGTACAAACAGAAGTTCAGAGATGAAGAATCTAAAATGACCAAGAGACACCAATGAATTCATTTTTTGTAGTGAGTTCAGGTGGACTTCCAGGCTCAGTATGAACTGGAGGGACATGGAGCATCAGCCGGTCATTAGTCCTGGTGTCATGTGGTCCAGTGGACCGGACTAACACGGAAGTAAGATGTGAAGGCAGTTTTTCAAGAAGGGAATTTGTAAATAAACAAATACACATACAAATCACACCTCTCAGAGAGAGAGGACCATCCAACCTTTTTGCACAGGATGCAATGATGAGTGTTATAAGCTTCATCAGTAATGATCCTGAGAGCTGAGTGGTAGACAGCATGGGGGGGGGGGGGGGGGGTTTGAGTTGCAGCTGAAGCATGTCTGTACAAGATGTCACTATAATGACTCTTGTTGCCTCAACAAGAGTTTTTCTACAGTGCAAGATTTATTCCTAAAGAAATAGACAATTCACTCACCAGGTTTGATACATGATTCTTAAAGGATAACTTTGCCTCAGCTGATGTTTTTTATAGATCAAAGTGTCTCCAAATCACACCTCCAATCTGGTTCACCACCGACTCCACTGCTGCTGCTGCTGGTCAACATGTTTGTGGTGCAGTTTGAAGTTGAGGGTTGCCAGATCATAGTCGAGTATCCCCCAAATCGCAGCCTTTCGCTCTTTATCACCTTTTGCAGAAAACACTCACAGTGGCTGTGCAGGCCTAAGTTGGGTGAAAATATTCGACACTCTGACGTTATGATACCTTCTTCCTCTCTCTCTGTCTCTTGCTCTGACAGTTTTAAGCTAAATGAAACTGTCCTCTTTCATGCAGCCATCAAAACATTACCACAGGGCAGTCGTTTTACTGGGGGCAGTAAAACTGTTAAACTGATTTGAAGGAAGTCTGTAGTATTGATATGTATTTCTCCACCTCATAAATACTATCTTTCTACACTGCGGTGACTTTTGCACTCACGGTCTGAACTGACCCTTTGTTTTTAGTTTGTCATGATTTGTTTTTTTTCTCAAATGAGAGATGTTGTTGTTCATCTTCTCCTCAGTGAGTGTCAGCCTCTCTTTTCCCTTTCTCTCTAATCAAACCTTGATCCAGAGAAAAAAGGACGAGGTAAGAAGGAAGTTTGTTCAGTGAGCATGAAAATACATCTACAATACTGCAGTAGTACATCTGTGTGATACGTGGTTTTTAATGTATCTTGCTTTAGACAAAGATATTGAGTTACTGGCGACTGACAACTAAAGATCAGTCACATGATCTTTGTTGTTATATAGCTGGTCAGGAGATGCTTTTACACTCTCTCTGTTTTTGCATATTTCTATAGGAGCTCCATGATGAGGTGGTTGATGAGGGGTTCATCACAGAGGTGTGATGCAGACTGATGCAGAGGTGTCTGGTCTCTGCTTCACTTAATCCCATGAGAATATTTTAACACCAGCCAGATCAAAACCACTGATTTATATTTTTCACAACGCTGATTCTTCAGGATGAAATATAGAAGGAGAGGAGGTGTGTGTGTGTGTGTGTGTGTGTGTGTGTTCACATATGAGGAAAGCAACATCAAAAGGAAAGCACATTATCCTCTTACAGTGGGTAGTGATGCATTCACTGTGGTGGGGAGCTTTGAAATATGACCTGCAGCACAAATAGTATTCATGTGCGTATTTGTGTGTGTGTGTGTGTGTGTGTGTGTGTGTGTGTGTGTGTGTGTGTGTGTGTGTGTGTGTGTGTTTATGTTAATGGGTGTTAATGGCAAGTGGATGCTGTTCTAGCAGCTAAACTCCATCAGTCTGAATGACTGAGAACCTCCTCAAACATCGTCACAGTCAGAGACAGAACAGGTCGACACTGATGAGGAAACTCCTCCCACTCATTAGATCTGGGTGATGTCCAACATTTAATATCTCCATACAGTCCAGCCCAAAAATCACCGTATATGATCATCACAGGGTGTGAGGTATAAGTGATGCTGCCACTAAACATCTGTTCAAAGTTTTATTTGTCACATAACAAGCTTCAATGTACAATAAGATCAGCAGTGACATGAGGGTTGGACTCAGCAGCAGGACAGAGTTTAGAAAACTGCAAAAAAAAATCAAAAAAATCAATATTATGAAAAATGTCACACATAGCAGGAAATATAACCCTATATTTGATATTATCAGATACAGTATATGCCCAAACCTCCCACTCATTTGTGTTTATAATAAAGTCTTTCTTCAAACACAGGAAACGAGTGACACCTCTAGTCTTTTAAACTCACAGTCTGTAACTTCTGCCTCTAGGAGTCTCAGAACAATAACAAAAGACAATTTTGGTTGACGTCATGAAATATCATGGGATCACCAGAGTTGTTGTCTTCTCCACCATTACCATAAGATACTCCCGGTTTGGATTCCTTCAGTGTCAGTGGTTCAGGAAATTAAACAGACCCGGTGATTCTAACGGTAGAAACACTGAATCAAGCAGTTTCACTTTAAAAATTCAGCGACGCTCTTTAGTGACACAGGACAGGACGTCTCCAGCAGCTGGGAGCTGAGCTGTCTAACATTTCCTCAGCTTGTTTCTCTGATAACTTCAGATCCAGACGTCCGACGACTAAAATCCTTCATCTGGTTCAAACATAGAGCTGAAAACCACCAAGGTGTCAAAAGTGCATGTGGCTTAAAACTAGATAAAAGTCAATGTTGAGCTTCTGTCAGACAAACACACATTAGGATGATTAAAATCACAGATTTTGAGAGTTTTAGAATTGATGGAAACATTTGGGATAATGTAAGAACACAACAACAACATATAGAACACAGGTCTAGATGTTTTTAGACAATTTAATGTGGAGAAGTTACAGATTATAACTTTTCCTGTCTTCAGTTAGGAACATTGACTCAGAACTTGACACAGACTATTCACCTGTCACGGATTTTTTCCTGAATCAGTTCCTAACTCTGGTTCCCATGGTTACCAAAAAGTTAAGATATGATCTGCAACTTAAGAAGTTTCTGTGATTCACCCCCAGACCCACAAAATAACTTCTACAACTGTGCTCACAGGATGAGTAAAGAGACTTTTAAATGTATGTTCACTTTCGCTGCAGTTTTGTTCTGCACATCATGCATAATGCACATCTGTACTTGTAAACATCTGCATCATGTATTCACCATCCTGTGCCTGTATAACCTCCTCCAGAGTCCCTCCTGTGCTGGCGCTTTTTATGTTTTAAACACACAGTCATTCAGTGGCTCTCATCCAAAGTCTCTCTCTCTCTCTCTCTCTCTCTCTCTCTCTCTCTCTCTCTGTCTATCCAGGTGTGACTACAGTCCTCACTATGACCACGCTGAGTATCAGTGCCCGTAACTCACTGCCTAAGGTGGCCTATGCTACAGCTATGGACTGGTTCATCGCTGTCTGTTACGCCTTCGTCTTCTCTGCGCTCATTGAATTTGCTACAGTCAACTACTTCACCAAGAGAGGCTGGGCCTGGGACGGGAAGAGTGTCGTCAATGACAAGGTAGAGCTGTCACACACCTGGAGCACCAGGTGAAGAGTCCTGGTTGCTGTTCGTAGATCCAACTGAATACAGCTACTGTCAATTCTCATATGACACTGGATTGAGAGGGTGAAATTACCTGTCGTTCATTCAGAAAGTCTTCAGACCTCTGAACTTTAGTCACATGTTGTTATGCTCTGTTGCTTATGTTCTGTTCCTGTTCCTCCTGACTTCTGCTGCAGCTGATTCACCTCCCTCCTTTCCCACAGTCTGGCTTCAGGCAGCTCCTCCCCACATGGAGCCATGACTCAGTTGTGATAGATAGATAGATAGATAGATAGATAGATAGATAGATAGATAGATAGATAGATAGATAGATAGATAGATAGATAGATAGATAGATACTTTATTTATCCCCGAGGGGAAATTCATGTGTCCATTAGCTCATTGTTGATAATAATAATAATAATAATGATAATAATGATAAAAACAGTTAATAATAAATAAACAATAATAATCAGATTAGTCCACTTCCTGTGGCTGAGGTGTTGTATAGCCTGATGGCAGTGGGAACAAAGGATCTCCTGAACCTCTCTGTTCTGCAGCGCAGTGAGATGAGACGTTTGCCAGGAGGTGATCAGAGTGTGTGGTCAGCAGACAGATCACAGGGCCAGGTTCACATCCTGAGTCCAGCATGTGTTTCAGTTAAAACAGGGTTTTCACAGTTTGAAAGGATTATAGCTCTGGATTCAGAGTTTTGCTGTGGGCTACAAACTCAGACGGTTTTTGTTTGCACTTTGACAAACTGTCTCCATTAACAGTGAACTGAGTGAGTCTTTAGGGACTTTAAGCAGTGATGGTTGAAGTGACGACTATGGTGCTTGTATACATTCCAACACATTGCCGTAGTGATGGAAATCAAAGATCACTAAGCAACATTTAACTCTAACAACAGCTACTTAACTTCTTCAGGAAACCGAGGTCGCTCCGAACATTGTTACAATACGTCTCTTAAAAGGACCTGAGAGCTCTTCATATTTGCTTTAGAGACTATTTAATGAGATGAGTTTGTTTAAATCCATCTGTTACTTCAGCACCATGGATAGCGTCATGGTTTCATCAACAAAATGCACAGTCAGGTTGTGGGCTGGAGACAGAGGATGGAGGTTAACAACAGTTAACTGACTATTTAATATGAGAGGAGGAGTTTGTATAAATCCATGTGTTACTTCAGCACCACGGACAGCATCATGGTTTCAGCACAGTCAGGTTGAGGGCTGGAGAGGGAGGATGGAGGTGAACAACAGTTGCAACAGTGCATTTTGGTCTTTTTGTTAACAAATCTATGGCATGGCATCATGGCAGGCTTTACTGACATGACCATAGTCAGATACAGCATTGTCAAAGCAGACTGCATGTGGAAAAGATGAAATTAACAATTAACAACAAAACATATTTATGATATTGATTGAACAGCTGAACAACAACAGCATCAACAGTACTCTGCAAAGGGAAGGAGGTCAAACACAAACACAACAACAACAGAAGCATCAATACAGGAAAACAAACTGTGTGTTAATACAATGCTCCCACTGTTCTGTAACAGACAGTAGGTGGGGCACGAGTGTGTGTGTGTTTGTGTGTGTGTGTGTCACTTGCTCACAGTACGGCAGGTAAGGACACACTGTGCAGTTGTGAGGCTGCAAATCTCTCTCCGAGCAGGCTCAGCAGTTTGCTTATGTTGGTCATGTGGTGGAATTGAGGATGTTTGTTTTTGAATTTTGGGGATATTTGTTGTGATTGGCTGCTGACCTTCAGTATGTGTCATAGTCACTGTCTCTTCCTCTGCTCACAGTTTGATAAGCTGTGGGTTAAAGTTGATGACAGACTGTGGTTTCAGTTAGATGCTGATCAACTACAGTCCTCTTTCTCTATAAAACCAAAACCATGATGTGACCTCAACCCTGTGCTGTGAGGTTTTTCTTGTTGTCATGGCTACTGGCAGATGTTGTGTTACTAGACTGGATAAAACAAGTGCTAAAACCTTATCAATGAACAGTTTATTGATATCTTTAGTTTGAACCTGGGTGTGTGAATCAATTTTAAAAATAACTAATTAATAACACAATTACCTGTGATTAATCATGATTAATCACAGACACCTGTAACCTGTAATCATTCCTCTCTGAATCACCAGTTCACTGTAGAATCAAAGTATCTGTTGATTGGAATAATGACCCTTAATGATTAATTATCACATTGATTCATTCCTCACTTGTTCCTCAGTAACTACTCACAGTATGATGTGCCATATTGTAAGCAAGTGTTCGTCCTGCTGACTGTATCATGCTGCCGTTAAAGCACAGAGCCAGTACAGATGTAGACACAGTGAATTTCTTTCCTCCTGCTCCACTATAAATAATGTCGATCATTGAGACGTAGTGAAATGAGCTCAGACGGTCTCTCTCTCTCTCTCTCTTTCTCTCTCTCCCTTGCAGAAAAAGGAAGCATCCATCATGAAGAAGAACAACGCCTACGCTGTGGCGGTGGCTAACTACGCTCCCAACATCACAAAGGACTCCACGCTGCCCACCATCTCAAAGTGCGCTCTGAGCGACCCCAACAAGACCACGGCAGAGACCAAGCCCGAGCAGAACAAGAAGACCTTCAACAGCGTCAGCAAGATCGACCGCATCTCCCGCATCATGTTCCCCGTGCTGTTCGGGAGCTTTAACCTGGTCTACTGGGCCACCTACCTGAACAGAGAGCCGGTCATCAAAGATCTGGATCCTTCCAAGTGAACTGCAGGGACTCACTCCACACAAGCAGGACTTACACATCTGTCAGCTTTCTTTTTTTTTTTTTTTTTTTTTATGCATGAAGAATTCTCCTCTCTTCTTCTCTCATTCCTACAGAGAACAACGTTGGATCGATGCAGGTAAACATCAGAACTGGGTCAGAACAAACTGAGAGAGGTGATTTCATTATTTTAGTTTTACCTGTTGTTTCAGCCCAGACTGAGAGAAACCAAAACCTCATCACCATTCATGAAAAATATCAAAATATCAAAAAGATATTTCCTTCAAATTAAATGTTATAATCATGACAGAATCATCTGGTGATATTAGAAAACAAAACTACAAAAACTAGAAAAGAATCAGTGTTGGCGCTCTCTGGAGGGAAGGCAAAAAAATCTCTACAAACAAGAACATTTAAGAAAATAATCAATGTTTAAAGCTGCACTGACCAATATTTTTTATATTGAATCAATAACAACGAATGAGATGAGTATGTGTAATATGATCGTGTGAAACCTCCCTCAGCTCTACAGAGCTTTTCTTTCAGCTCATTGTTTTATGTCCAGGAGCTTCAGTTTTGATCATCAGCCTCATTTTCACCTGCAGTTGCTGTGAACCCAGTGGCGCATTTAGCAGCTAAAGACCCAGTTACTTTCTCAGGAGCTGGTGTTAAAGAAGAAGAATTAAAGGAAAACTGTTAGTGTGTCAGTGCTGTGTTTTCATCAGCTGCCACCAAGTGGCCAAAATGTCAATAAATGCAGCTTTAATTAGAATTTCTGAAAGTTTAAATTAAGCACAAATCAAGCTAAAAAGGCAAATTAACCCTAGTTAGCTCCTCCTGTTCCCTGGTCCTGAAGTCTCAGGTTCTTTGAATGTGTTTTTGGTTAGATGGCTGAAATAAGGTCTGTGTTTAACAAAAGCTCAAGACATTTTCACGTTTTATTCTACAACATAAAATACGTCAGTAAATATCCCAGTCCTGATTTCTTTAAACTTTTACCTCTGTTAAAAAAGGCTAACAGCTAACTAGTGTCTAAGTGAGACTAGTGAGGTTGTCGGGGACGTTAAACGTCATCATGTTGAACATGAAAACAGATCTACTCACCAGTCCACCTTCACAGCCTCGTGTTTATATGAACTGTTACTAACCATGTCAGAGGAAAGGCTTTTTATAGAAGAGATAAGAGCTAAATCAAATTAGTTGAAGTTTAGTGGTGGTGACGGTGAAGTCATGTGACCGTGGTGTAGTTGGTTTAGAGGCTAACATTAGCTTTTAACTTCTGTTGATTGTTTTTAGGCTTCAAACATCATAAAGTGGAGTTCATTAGTGAAGATGATCCTGCTGAACTAAACCTGTCAGGATCAGAAACTGTTGTTTATTTTCTCTAATAATCCAAAAGACAATGGAAGAATCCCATTGACTTTTAATAGAGGGAATTAGGGTGATGATAACTGCAGGGTTGGACTATAAAAATACATCATCATGCAGAACTGTATTGACTGAATTTTAATTGAAGTTTCAAATCCTGTCAAATTAATTTCACCAATCCTGCAGTCAGAATTATGTTTATTTGTATATTTATTTATTTTTGTATTTATTTGTTAATTTACTTGTGCGCTAGCAAATTTCACACGTCTTTATCTGGTAATTTTAGGAAAACCAAAACCTTATTAACTAAATAGAGCTGTCCAGATGTTCCTGCTGTTAAATGTTTCAGCACATTAAGACGTTTCTCTTCCGCCTGCCAAATGAAACTACTGGGTTAACTAAACTAGGCCCACCTGCTAGCTTGTTCTGGAGCGTCTTAAAGTTTGTTCAGCTCTCATGGAAATGTAGAGGTTTGAACTTTCAATTATTATTATTATTCTTCCACTGCCAGGACCTTCTGTCCATATTGTCCACTTAAAGTCAATGATCTGTCCGGCTTATCTGGGTGAAAGTAAAGGAAAGAGGTCATGGGAAATAAAGTATTGTTCAGGTATTGAGGGTAAAAACAGCTGCAGGGAAATAAACTAAAAAAAAAATTTCCAATCAAATCTCTAATCAACAGCAGTAACAATGATTATCTGAGGATCCATTTCCAGTAGATTGGTGGTTTCTCATAACTGTTAGGTGTAGCACTGCTGTGTTAAGGAGTCATAATTATCACAAAATGTGTCTGAATTTGATTTTATTCTTCCTGAAGCTTATAAATTTTTCTTTCTCTGTTAATATGTTCTTGCACATCGAGCACCGCTAAAATGTGTTTTGTCATTAATGAGCGTCTGTATTCACGAGGCCACGGGGAGCTGAGAGGCAGCGAGTCAGCACTCATCTCTAAATACAGCTCTGCTGGGTGTTGTCATCTAAACACTGAGCATCAACCAGTCTCCTCAGTCTGCCCACATTGGACTTCATCTCTGGGCAAACATGGAGTGTTCAGGGAGTAGTCTGGTCCTGTGGGTGTAGCGGGCTGTCACATTAACATCTGTACACATCAAGATATTTGCAGGGAACTTACTCCACACCACAGCTTCACCACTGGCACATCCAGATCACTCTGTAGCTCTTGTACAGGTTTTTAGACTCTTCTCCCGCTCTGGACACAACTGTGAGAATATTGTTTTGTGTGTATGAAATGTAAATATTTTTTTATTGTAATCTTTTTATAAGCAATGTAGCAAGAACAAAGGACCTATACATATTTAATAGTCTCAACCTACAGCCTAAAGTGTCAGTAATTCTGCATTCGTTGAATTCTGTGCAGTCTTTGTGTAAAATTACAAGGTTTGAAATTGTGTTTTTTTTTTCTTTTTTTTCTGTCAAAATACTTCTTATACATTCCCAAACACGTGCAAGCTACCAAGCCATAAATGGTCACACCAACGCAGTTCTTTTATTTAATAATAATATATAATCTATATAGATTCACTATAGATACTGTATTTAAAGACTGCACATCCCAGAGCACAGGAGGACAAATAAACGTGGGCACACTGACATGTAGGGAACCACTGAGGGGCACGATATAAAATCTGTCTGGTGCTGTGTCTCAATTCAGGGGCTGTATCCTTCAGAGGACATGGGCCAGACAATCTAGCCCACGGAGGATTTCCTGTTTACCCTCGGCTGCTGTTTTATTCACAGAGACCGCCATTATTTTGAAAAGTGATTACATAGTGATTCATCCACTGGCATGCGATGAATCTCGGGCCACTTTGTCCAAGAACTGAAGGACACATTTCTCAGCAGAATCATAGGGAGCCTTTCAAATGGTACAACTTTGTGAAGTCCTTCATAGGATGCAGCCGCTGAGCTGAGACACAGATTGAGTCTTGGTCTGGGACTGGCCCTGTTGTTGAGATGGTGTCTGGATTGAGTCAACCAGAAGAGTTGAGTGACGTGACCCCTGATGTCAGCTCTCAACTACATCTCGCAGTCTTACTCAAACGATGGAGTTAGCTCCGTCGTCACCCTGTAAACTCACCACCTCCCCCCTCTGAGGGGAGGACTGGACTGGTGTGTGACATCATCGTGACATCGAATGTGACAGCATCACTACATCAGCAAAACAGCAAGGAACCTGGACAAGAGACTCAGTGAAGACCAGAAACAGAAAATGGCTGCGTCCAAAATCATCCCCTGTTCACTATATTAGTGAACTACTTTCACATTCTCCCATTTTATCTGAGTGTGAACTAGATTTTCCAATGTCCTCAAAAAATCCCACAATGTAATGAAAACACAAGTGTCCATGGCATGATGAAAACCCAAAACACTCATTTCATAAAATACAGTATCAGTGCAACTGGACATGAGTCACTTGGGTTCAAAATACAACAGACCTACAATTTAGCAAAGCAGATAATGAGTAGCACCTACTTAACATGCTGTTTGTCTACACAGGGCCAAACGCAGACGAGGGAAATACAGGAAATGAGGACAATTTAAGTAAAAGCAAATGAAACATCTAAAGCCACAGAGACCTAACACCCCCTGACAGTTTACTTGTTTGTGATTCTGCACATAGACCACAATATATATTTTCTTTGTGACACTCAGTGTAGTTAGTTTGTTTTCTGCGATGTGTGTAGAATTCGTGTTGAAACGCAACAGCTGGTCTTTGTTTGGTTAGTAAAATCTGAAATGAGCAGCTGGAGTGGAGCCTTCATCAGCTCAGCCTGTGTACCGTCATCATCAGTCTGGCCCAGTATGAAGCCTAGTGTAGCAAACTGGCTGTTCACAGTCTAGCTGTCCTACCATACCCTGCTGCTGCTACCTCCCCTGCAGGCATACGCCTGGCCTCCAGCGTCCTTCGCTTGATTGTAGGTTGTGACGTCAGATTACTAAATTTATTAGATACATTTTTAAAAGTCAGGGCAAAGTTTAACGCCAATGTCAATGAGATGCAGAGGACTGCCGACAGCTGACGTTGATATTTTGTTGCTTGTAAGTTGTGTTGTTAAGTAACCAAGCGTCCAATGCCTAAAATACTGACATTCTGGTTGTGAGCAAAACCCAACGTCGCCTACAAATCTCTTAAATGCCACTTAAACATCTCTTAAACTCCTCCTAAACGCCTCGTAAACGTCACCTAAACATCACTTAAATTCCTCTTAAACGCCTCCTAAACCTCTAATAAACACCTCCTGAACATCACCTAAATGCCTCCTAAACGTCTCCTAAACATCTCCTAACATCTCATGAACGCCTCCTAAACGTCCCCTAAACTTCTCCTAAACATTTCCTAAACATCTACCACATGTCATCCACACGTCACCTAAATTTCTCCTAAACGTCTCCTGAACGTCATCATCAAATGTCTCCTAAACATCACAATGTCAATTAACCAACACTGGATCCTGACGTCCACCCACTTCCCCTTTCCAACCAAAGTTTAACGTCTGTCCGACATTATCGTTAGAGTCATAAGAGACGTTAGAGTCCAACGTCTGTCTGACGTCTCGTTGATGTCTGGTGCATGCTGGGTATGACCTTGCTCCTCACCACCCGCCCCCTCACC